GAGTCGAGTTTTTTTTTTATTAGATCGACTCGACAATTTACAAACTTTCGCAAGAATTTAATTTAATACGTATTAGTATCTTTTATAAGTTAATATTTTCGTTGTGAGCGCAAATAGTGTGCTGCTTCGTAAACGTTAAATTTCTCGCGATTACTTGTCTTCTGGAAAAATTTAATTTCTTCTTAAATTACGAGTATAATGGAAGCTGGGAGCTTCCCGTTGGAACACAAACAACGTTCACGTTAAAAAGAAATATCGAAAATTGAAATTATAATTTCAACATTCGCAAAATATTACTATACATACAACGAGTTTTAATAACACGGAACGGGAAATACCGCCAGCGATTCATTAGATTTATTAATAGTAATCCCGTTTGTTTATGATGTATACGACAAAAAATAATTCAATTAGTACCTGTATTAATTAAATTAATGGTATATTCGCTCTTGTATAATATCGCATTAATTAAAGATCTAAACTAATTCAATAGATTATTAAATGTGAATTAATAATATTTTCCATTATCTTATTATATCAAACGGGCACGAATAATATCAATTTTCCAAAGTATGTATAATATAAATTCGAGCGCGGTTAGGATAAATCGTTCGACCACTAATTTCCCCATCGATTTTCCATAAAATCTCCAGTTCTCATTCTAATCTGCGGATTGAAACTTTGATGCAATATGAAAATCCATACTGGCATCTCTTCGTGCGCGATGGATAAGAATTTAGAATCCGCTTTTCCATCAAATTGATTGGGAGGAAAGCAAACGATGTAACAAAATAGAATATACCTAAAATGAGCGTGATTATCTTAATTAAAATCGAATTTTAAAGGAGCTTTAATACAGCGAATTTTTCATAAACAATTTAATTATATCAGCAGATGCAAAAAAAATATTTTTGTATCTATTTTGTTTGATGGAAACGAAGATTAGTTCGCAAACTCGTTATCGATTTCGGAGAGGCTCTGTCTGGAAACAATATCCCCGTTCTCTAAGTAATTATTATGGGAAACATCCGCCTTAATTCTTCGCTGTTTGTGTTTCCATTACTGCAACGAATAATTTGATTAGTTTTCCCGGCGAACGCAAATAGAAGGAAAGATTATAATTTTCTTTGTTATCGGGTAGAAAAGTTTCCGTTGCGCCTGAATAGATAAAGTTACCTGGAAGAGTTCCGTTCGGAACTGTTATCGGGCTTTTTTATACATAAAATTAATGATTATAATGTTAAGCTGTTTATAGAAATTTAGCATCGAACCTCAATGTAAGGTACTTTTAATTAACTATGATATTATTGCATAAAATCCTGTTTTTTTCCGGTACCATATACCTGAGTATATCATCTAATATAAAGGGTTTTTCAAGGTTTCTTATCTAGATATAACTTTGGATAGTACCTACTCTTTTACCTAGTGAAAATCGAGCACAATAACTGTACAATTTGTAGAGTTTGTTTCCTTCATTTCAAAGGGGTTTTGACATGAATCGAGAAATTCCATCGCTCCGATATAGGAAGTACCTTCGAAAAGATTATACATCAGCATTATACAGTCGAATAAAAGAGGGAATATTCATAATATCGGAAACGTATGCGTAACCATTTCACCGTATAATTCCTCTTTCGCCATATTTATGTAAATGAAACGAGAGAACGAGGCGGCTGGCTGTGCGGATTTTAAAATTCACAATCCCGTATTGACAGAACGAATAAAAGTACAACAAATTCGACGTGAATGCTGGGGCATTCAGCGTTGATCGGTAAACATGTAAAATTTATAACGGTAAATGAACGGTTTCGATTCGAACGGAAAAATATATATGGGAAAATCTGACGAAGTCAATTCGTTATGCTCGTTGAATATTTTTCGTTATCTCTTCAATTAGTATCAAATATAATAGGGTGTTGTGTGAATAGCGCGAAATGATTGTCATTATACAGAGCAGCTTTTAAATTGATAAATTCAACTAACTCACTGCATTAGTGCAATATTCACGAATAAATTTTCTTTGAATAAAATAATAATTACTGCTGGTTTTTCGCGCTGTTCATTTGACCATCATTTGACCGGTTCGTGAATCTAATAATAATTGCTTTAAAAGATAAATGGGAAACGCGAAAATGCGAAACCTTCATTGAATCGTCAAACGGGAACGGGGTAGAATCGCGCAAACACCCAAAATGAATTTGAGCCGTCTAAACTTGATTAATTGTAGAGAAAATCCCCCGAAATTATTCAATATAGCGCCCGGCGATGTTTCATTAACAATGTAAGTTTCAGGTTTCTTGAAAATTATACGAGATTGCAGGAGTAGAAGTGATTAATGAAGGAAAGTAAAGCCGATAATGAATCGTAGCCGGGCGCTGTATAAAAATGTAAAAAAATTGCGGAATATTATTCCTATGCTAAATGAAATGAAAACGTAACAATGTATTAGTACAATCTCTATACACATCTCATTTTCCAACACGGTGCATTAAGTAGAAATATCTAAAAAGGAAATCGAACCGCCGGAAGGAGACGAAGGGGAATTATCTGTTTGATTCTCTATATCCATAGGTACATACATCCTCGATTTATATGCCAATAAAAAGCTTCCAACGAATGGAAAACGAATCTCACTTAGGTCTTACCCGACTATTTGTCAGACCATTTTATACCGATATCTTCATGGTGAGTTTACTTTGTCGGTTCCGGTGAATTATTCATTTCAAATTTTAACGAAAAGTTCCATTCTCTCGAATTTCCACACTGAATTCCTACCGATAGATGCACTTTTCACGTAATGACCAATCGAATATTCAACACTACAACCAAGAGAATCGTAGAAGGAACAATGTCGAGCTTGCGTAGCGAGCCAGAATTACTCTTGTTTATTCTTCATATATGTATGTTGAAATATGTTGAAATGATCGGAAACAAACGCATATTAATATTGTACCATAGAAATTAAACGACACATCTGCGTGTTACCCGTTAATTGCAATTCAATAATGTAAATTATCGCCCATTCAACCGTGCCGAGTTCATCACGTTGGCGTTGATGATGACATCATCTATTTTCCATACCTTATTGGAATATTGAACGTATATTAATCAGTACAAATCCTCATGATATTTGACGATTTTAAATTCTTAATTCATCAAATTAACTAACTTGTCTTTGACCGTCAAACACCTCTAAATTACATCTTTATTAATAGGCCTTTCCTTTTTAAATGCCAACGCCAATTCCACCATCAATTGAATAATTTTCATCTCGTCTGCTCCACGTTAAATTAACATCGTACAAAAAGATAAAAACCCATAAAATTATACCATTTAACCGCACATTAAACTTGACTTTCTTCATTAAACACTTCTCTCGGAATTATCTACATCTCTAGCATTGTTAAATATGTTTAATGTAGTTATGTGGGTGCATGATATTAACAAGATAATTCGAATATGACTCGCAAAAATTTATGTCTCGCAGGAAAATTGTCCTGCTAGTTTGCGAATCGCTCTATATAATTCAGGATACACTTCAATATGCGAGAGTAGGTATGGCTATGTATTCACCATGGAAAATTAATGGAAGTGGAGAAACGTTTGAAATTCAACGAATCATCGTGATTGAGTATATGCATCCAGTTTGAGAAATATACAGATAACAGCCATTCGAGATGAGATGAAAGAAATTTGACGCTACATTGACCGCACAGAAGGCCAGAGCTAGAGCTAAAGTGTGTGATTTTGTTGAGGAATATATGAAATTGGTGAATATACAGAAGAGCTTTTTATACAAGATCGAACGATTTCGTTATCACACAAATTTGAATACATTTCATAAATTACTTACTATCTATTTTATAAAAAAACAGCCATCGTTTTTTAATAAACCATTGCATAGAATTACCTTGATTTATAATCTAATTATAATCCGAAAGTGCGTTCTGAACAAATAAGGGCGGAAATACAATATTTAACTACCCCTTGATCATTAATAAAGGCTTTTTAGCTCAGTTTCAATCCATAAAAGTTACGTTTAACTTTAATAGTGAAGTAACTTCGAAAACGAAATGGGGGATGGTGGAATGGGGGTGTTTTTAGACGCGCGAATGGAAAGCTGTTGGAAATGGTTTTGTTAGTCGTATTTTCGTTAAGTGGTTTTCGGGATAGTATGAATTATGGCGGTGCTTACAGAGAGAAGAAAAGTGGAATTGTTAAAGTTTTTATGACTTATTTTTCGAATTTATTGTAAACATTATTTTGTCATCCTCAACTAAACTAATATACTGGCTGCTTTGACATGAAAACTTGCGATTTTAGGATAGAGACAAACAAATTAGAGCATTCTCCATTCTAATTCTTATAACCTCATTTATTAAATCTGAAAAGTTTGTGTATTTTAAATTCCTAACTAAAAAAAAAAAACCGAGCAGGTGGAAGGCATTAGAGGTTTCCTACTAGTTTTTAGAGGGTATTTTTTATCAACCTGTCACTTCCACTGAATTGATTAAATCGGGAAGTATCAGCAGGAGGTTGCGCATAGAGGCAGGACGATATGAAACGAAAAAAAAAGGTCCTGAGAGGAAAACGAGGCAAAAATAAATGTTTGTTGGATGAAATTGACTGTCGTTTGAGATATATGGCAATTTATAAAAATGTAAAAGATGAGACATTTACACTTTTAGGTAAGAAGGAAATATTGAATTATGTTATTAGTAATAAAAATTAAAACGATACCTATAGGGGCTGAATTAAAAACAAAGCGATGATATATTATTTGATTATTCCATTATATGCAATAGCGATAAAAATATTAACGAGCGTGTATTTTATTTTATTGGAGACAGAAATTTATGGCAACATGTCCATACAATTATTTATAGTGCCTGTCTCCAACATCTACATAAAAATAAAAACCCTAATGATTTAATAATATATTTTTCCCCATCAAAACTCTTTTATAACAAACAATTTTTTATAAAATAACAAACAATTACCTGAAATCCCACCAAACACGAACACCAGCAGAAGAAATCCTCCAACACCCTGTAGAAAACAGCACATTTTGGCTAAATTGCACCAGATAATCACACAATTAATCCACCACTTCAATCACATCATTCGACCAACGAAACGTGCTGTACTTGGACTCGTCTCGATCCAGCTCTATCGCGATCGAATCGCGATCTTTTTTCGATCCTCCTCCAACGCCGGAATTATCGTCGTGCTGTCGTGGGAAACATCGCGGGAAAACTGCCCGAAAGAGCCGAAGCCAGCGAGCGATCGCGACGCCCTAAAACATGCGCTCCCGCCGGTTCGCAATCGGCTCCGAAACACAAACTCCTGCTGGACGTCCTGCCACTCCCACCCGGTCCGACGGCGAGATAGCGACATCGCGGAATCCTCGGCAGGATTTTCTTGAACGTGGAGCATTCGCGAACTCGCTCTCTCGGGCTTGCGGTCGCCTCCAAGATTGGAGATTTCGAAAGGGGGAAGCCTTTGATTCGGTTTAGTAAGCCTCGCGGATGATGGAATGGATATAGGGCGCTTTAATTTCGGGTAAACAATAAATTGAGTTTGAGCCTATTAAACCAGCGCCCTTTCCAAGGTGATTTTGACGCGCCATTTTCACGCCGGGGTATCGGTTTGGTATTCAATTAGCGGCTGAACACGGTTTTAAAATCTTTAATCTTTCGCTTTATTATTAATTATTATTATCAGTTAGCTTGCGGAGCGAGCGAGAGATTGACTCTATGATAACGAGAGTCAATTCTTAACAATGTTTCCAAGGCTGTAATTACTCCTAAGAGAGCCATTCATCTACTCAATGCTGTAATAATAGTATGCCCGAGAGGGAGAATTTTCAAGATTAAAAGAGTTATTCATTATCTTTTATCGTCATTTATGTATTTTTTAAAGCTAATTATACAACCATAACATAAAGTTAGTTAATTGTTTAACCAAGAGAATCGTCAGTTTATTAAAAAAAAATCTATTATATACTGCAATGATTTAATTGTCTATCTAATGAGTCTATTATCTACTATTAGAGAGAATCAATTGTCTATCTAAGAAAGTATCTCATCTACTGAAAGAATTTAAATTAGACTATCTAATTATCCATATTGTAAAATGTCAAAAATATGAAAAATTAAACGTCACATGTCAACGTCGAAAGCTTATTAAAAAATAACGGTTGATTGTGTATCATGTCATTAATATAATGAGTTTTCCGTTGGAGAATTAACACAAAGCCTGCGCCCCGAATAATAAAAGGAAAATTGGGAAATATATCGTTTTTCCTCCCGTTTCCTCGTCGGAAAATCGACCGTCTGGCTCTTCGTTAGGCCGCTGACGGTAACTCAATACCAATTACCGGCAAGCGAACCGTATGATTTTTATGATCGCGGACGAATTAAATAGTTGCGTTAGGGCCAGATATTTTTTCGTATTTTCCTCGGGCAAATGAAATCAATCAATTCCCTGGGGAGCGAGAGGAAGCGAGATGGAGCGAGAGGAACGTGACAGGTCCAGAAATGGAATGATCCAGCCGGTTCGGTGGAATTATAGGAAAATTTCACCGAGAGCCTTCGGGATCAATGTAATGCTTAATTGATTGTGCTATTTTTACGTTTCTAGTTGATCTGTCTGTCTGCACATTTACGTATTAAGGATAGAAATATAATAGAATAAAATGTTATATGAAATTTAAATTACAATTTCCGATTTTCGAGTGATATGCACAACAGAAATTTATTCTGTTCCTATTTAAATTATCGATAAACGACGATAAAAACTCCCGGCTTTTTCAAATGACCATTAAATTATTAACTTTCGAACGATTAATAAAACGAAATTTAATCGTTATCATGAATAATTCAAACTGTTCACGGAACAAAAAAAATTGCAATGAAAATTATTTAAACTATCATATTCATTCGTCAGTAAAATTACGTATTCGATTTGTTGCGAATTAATTTCATTTATATAGACAAAATTTGCTCGAATTATTTAGATGCCTAATTAATTCGTTAAATATAACTATGTATACCAAATTAATAATCTTTATTGAAATTAATAGTTGAGTAATTCGAGCAAACAATGCACTATAAACAACTTAAATAGTAAATTAATATTAGAGGTACAAATATATTTTTTTAATTATCCATCAAGATTCATTACAAGAAAATATGTAAATCCCTAATGATAATCATCCAGTGATCTATAAAACAAACCGTTCGTTATCATACTAGACTCGTTACAACGATATTTTACGAGAATAGAAAATTAATCCCAGCGACTCGGAAACGATATTCGAACATTCGCTATTTTACTATCGAACACTCCGACAATCAAACTGAAAACCAGTCGACCCTTCCTTCCTCATCGTCTTCCTGCTCTACGTGTATTCGCGTTTGCGGGTTTGCGGCCTGAGCTGGAAATATTAAATTCGGCGGGATTCAATAAGCAATCAGAGTGTCGAAATCGAAAAGGGGTTTCGTAACGTTACCGTCGCGACACCGACGCCCCGGCTTAATGAATAGATCGACGGGCTTTAATGAACCGGCATGCTCTAAGAGTATATGGAAGCTTCTGTATATGGAAGCTTTCAAAGCTCATCAGAATTTTATGAGGTGTATTTGTTATTTTATAATAGCATCTTTATTTGTTACACCTTCATCGGGGTATAAAAATCAATTTGCCAGGCAATTATCGTTGTTATTAAAGCACATACGGCGTGATATTAGTTTTGAGCGCTTTAATGGCTGAGTGTGCAGATAATAGGAGTCTTAAAATAACACGACCGGTCGAGCATATACTCGCACACACACGTTCAAACATATACGGACCCTTGTCAACCCGTATTACTATTTTATGAAGATTTCGCAATATGCTAATTTCCTAATGGAATGTGTTAACTTTCGATGCTCCCCGAAATTCAAACATAGAACTCGAGACTATGTACGGATTCCGTTTCATCTGTAAACAATCGAGACGGCGAATTTACCACCGGGCCTAATTCGAAACGTGAATTTTCTACAAAACCCCAATACCCTACATAATCATATCACGATATAATTAAGTAGATTTTACTGTGTCGTGTCCAGTTAATGACAATAATCTCAACACAACACACATGTATACTGTATATACACACAAAACCCGGAACACCGGGAATCGTAAATCAATCCTCCCGACTTTGAAATTGAATACGGTGCGCAGTCACATCACAATCCCGACTAACTAACTAAATGAATCGTACGTAACTTCAATCCCTACATCCTATCTATTTCTGTCAGGACAGTTATCCTGCAGGATTCGCGTACAACGGCGGGGGATCAGCTCCGCCGGCACCGCAAGCACCGTGTACGAGGGCTCGGAGAAAAATGTAGAGAGAATGCGGCAGCAACAGCGTCGAATTTAAAACCATCACCCTCCGATTCGAACGTATATCTATACGAGTTTGAACAAATAGCGAGCGTTTCCGGCGAATAAAATTTGTTTACACGGGCTTCCATTCATTGTATTATGCAGAAGGTAATTTTCAATGTTAATAGAGCCTAGGCAAACGCCGCGTGCAGCGATCGTTGTTTACGTTTAAATAAGCTCGAACCGAGTTCGCCCTACTGCTTTTGTATTAATATAAAAGATTACTAATTCGCCATTCGACTTCAAATGATTGCATCGAATTAAATGAAGGTACAAAGAACGAATTTATTCGTTATGTAAGTATTGTGTAACCGGTGCATCTGAATTCTGCACCAATATACTAGTAATAATCTCGTTTTGGGTCAGAGAGTAAAGAGCAGAGAGAGCAAAGACTAGAGAGTAGAGAGCAGAAAGAGCGGAGAGAGCAGAGAGATCAGAGAGAGCAGAGAGAGCAGAGAGATCAGAGAAATCAGAGAGAGCAGAGAGAACAGAGAGAGCATAGAGAGTAGAGAGAGCAGAGAGAGCAGAGAGAGCAGAGAAATCAGAGAGAGCAGTTAAAGCAGATAAAGCAGAGAGAAGAGAGAGCAGATAAAGCAGAGAGAAGAGAGAGCAGAGAGTAGAGAACAGATAGCAGAAATTAAAGAGTAGAGAGCAAAGATTAAAGAGAAGAGAGCATAGAGAAGAGCGTGGTGTAGTGGCAACTAGCATTAGAACCTTGATTGAAAAATGTTGGTATTATCAACCACCTCGGGAGCCTTTTATAGCAAATATGGAGTTAAACGAGTCCTGTTTGTTTGGTTGTACGGGCGTTGTCGCGACGCGGCGGAGTCTTATTTGTCTCGCGATTCGACGTAATGAAGTCTGAAGGAACGATGATGGAACTGCAATAAACGAAGTGGAAAATGTCGGATAACGAGATTTAGACAAGGTCGGGGAGCGGCGCTCATGCATGGAGCGAGTTTAGCCAATCTTTCGCGAAGCGGCGCGCGGGGGCGGTTGCTTATTTTATTTACCGGGAACGGGCGAAACGGGAGGATATAATGCGGGCAATCGACGGGAATTAGTGAAGTTGTGAGGAATTTCGTTTAATAGAGTAGTAGGTAATTGTCGAGATCCCGGTGGAAAGGTTTGGTATACATTTCTTGAAGAGGATACGTGTTGTGTAATTTGCCTGAATTTTAGTAGATAACGCAGAATTTACCTATTATTCTAGTTGCTCTACTCCCCCGCAAAACTTTCAATTACACAAACACATAGCAGGTGTCTTTGCTGTATTAAACAACTTACTCCTACATATAAAAAATATAAAGATAGAGTTAATACATCATGCTAAAACTCATTCAAAACCTCTGAAACACATCAGCGTTTTATAATTAAGATTCTCGGGTTTCCTCCCGGGGGTATTAGGTCCATAATTTTCCCGGGCGCTTTTGTCTTGGTATTTTTTCGGTAGGGATTTATGCATGCACAACAATGGCTTTCTTTCATTGCTTCCCGTATTTTTGCGTAGCGGGTACGGGACATTTATTAAATGTTTTGGGCAATTTATGTTCTCGTTGGCTTGCTTTCCCGTCCGAATCGGAATGTCGGATAAATATTTTGTTACTTTTTATATATTTTTTTCCGTCGTAAACTTTTATTCAGGACAGATTTTTCGACCGACATGAATTTCATAATGGCAAATAAGCAATATTCGTGGATTATTGGAATTATTATTGATAGAAAAATGCGCGGTATTGTTGTTATCGACTCGTAAGAATCGAGTGGAAGAGAAATTCACAATTGAACCTCTAAAGCTTTTTTTTCTCTAACGACTTTAAATCCTGAATTTCGTTTTATTAGGCAACGCTGCTTCTAATTTTATCTTTCTTCGGATTTATGTAGGCAATAAAACGAACCTTTTTTTTTCACTAAAACATTGTAAATAAAATGGAAATAACGTGGACAA